AACTCTTAGAACTACTGAATCGGACAACTTTAGGGTTCAAACATTACCCAATTCACTTTAAAGTCGAGCAAGTGAATTGGTTTTATTTATTAACTGATCGGGACGTTACAATTCCCCTTTCTCTTGTTATTCTTCGGTGGCTGGGCAGTGGCTGGTGGCATCGGTGGAGCTGTAGAGGACTGGGCAGGGGAAACTGGCTGCAATCGATCATGGTTCGCCTCCCTTCGAAACAGCACGTGCATAGGTCTGAGTCCCGTGTCCTACAATGTTGTGACGGACTGCTGGGTAAAGACCGTCAATGAAGCGCTGTGCCCTCTGTGCCTCCGTACGAACCAGGTCCGGAACAAAAGCTGCAAGTCTGGTAAACTCTCTCTCGTACTCGTCAACAGAACGAGTACCCTGTTTGAGCGACAGGAACTGCCGCTCCATCTCTGCTCTGTAATAGGTGGGGTAGTACTTCTCGCGGATCAGCTCCTTGAGCCTATCCCATGTACAACCCTCCTTCTCGCCGGGACGCATGCTCCAGTAGGCATTCCACCAGAGCTGGGCATCGCCGGTTAGCTGAAGCTGAGCGCAGATAACACGATATCTGTCTGGACAATCCATGACCTCGAAGATCAACTCGAGGCCCTGTATCCACTCGTTTACGATACGGGGGTCTCCCTGCCCGGAGAATTTCTCAGCATGATAGTCGCGAAACTGTGCGACTACTGTGGCCTGGGGAAGAACCGGGTGATCGGGTTCCCTACGGTGCGGCATCTGAACATTGAGGAAGTTTAACATTATTGAACACATGAAAAATATTCTGACTGATTTCTAAAGTACACAGATCTCTTGACGAGTTGCCAAAAATGGTCGGAAAATACTGATATAGATCCTTAAGACGTCTAGAGTTATATCTGAGTACACTGATTTCTAAAGTCTGGTCCTGATTCGAGCATCTTAACTAAGTCATGATTAATAATTTCTGAGCATAGACAAAGTAATATGTTTATAACTGAAAAACATAATCAGCACTTACCTGTAGTCAGCGAGGCGTGAGCGTGACGGTTTAGGTTTTTCTGAAAATTTCTGACTTATAAAACTTTTCAGAGATGCAGAAATGTGCGCTGATACCAATTGTAACACCCCGCTATTTACTGAAATTCAGAGTACACTTTTTCGCAAATTTTCTAATTAAAACAAATAAATTGTTTCTTTTGCGAAAACTGATTTGGAGTGTTACCGTAAAAATCTGACTTTTATGAAAACCGTTAATTTTAAACTGATAATAAAAACTGTTATAAGCATATTAACCGACTAGTGTCGGATCAAAAGCTGAGTTAAAGTACTGAAAACTGTAGCGGAATAGTAGTGTAGCCAAAACATATATATACATATCAACAAAATATCCTGAACAGCTCGTCAGCTCACTCCTCGTCCCCGACTCTGTGACCTGAAAAACATGAAATACGTGGGGGCGTGAGGACTAAAACACTGTGCTCCGCAGAAACTCATACTAAAGTAAAACAGTGAAAATAATTACAATATCATGATCCTGGCATATATAACTGAACTGAAACTGAACTGATAACTGATGCCGGTACTGAATAATCTGATACTGATCTCGTGATATAAATCACCTGACTGATAACTAAACATTTGCCGGCACAAACTAATACCGGACACCATGTGCACACTCTAGTGGGCAGATTAGGGCCACTAGAACCCAGAATGGACCGGCGACCATTCCGAGCGGATACTGATAATAATACATACCTCAAACATGGTAGCGTAATTATAATCAATGTAGTACTTAGTCTGAGTCCCCACATGATCCGTGAAAATGAAGGTAGTGCTGATGCCTGATCAAACTGAATTAAAATATAAACAATTACTAATGACTATGCTCAGACTAATAAATTAACTGATTAATTATGTTAAGATGCTCTACTAGACTTAACATGATATTCGGATTTAATGGGTATAACTGGAACCGGTTAAATACGAAACTGAACTGATATAATTTACTGAACTGAACTGGACCAAGAATTTTAACTGAAAATGATACTGAAATGAAAAACCGGGACTAAAACATAAAAATATATGCTGAACCGGTCCAATCAGTCTGAAATGGGCTGAACCGGTCTGGACCGGACCGCCGGTCTGCTGAGCCGGTCGGTCGGTCGCTAACTCGACCAGCGGGCCTACCGAGGCTATGCACACGGGCGCTGCCTGGCTGGCGCGCGGGCGTTGGCGAGACTGGTCGTGCTGACTGTTGCTGGTAGTCCCTGGGCACGGGCATGCGTACTGGCGCGCACTGGCATGCCGCTGGACATGGCTGGCGCACACTGGGCGCGACTGCGGACTGACTGAAGCGTGTGCGTGCGCTGGCGCAACACAGACGCTGGATTGGGTGCTGCCCCGCGCTATGTGCGCGGGTGCAAGCACAACTGACGCTGCTGGGCGCTACCGCTCGCCGCAGCAGGCACT